TATTTATTGTGAGCTGACATGACATAAATAAACAGCTTTCCTAAGAACAACCGTCAAGGTCACTAAAATGAACAGGAGCCATAAGTGAGTTTAAATAATATGAAACCAGCCAAATCTGCAAAGATCCCCACAGAGGCTTTTTAATGGTTCATTAGGCTCACAATATCCAGCAGTTATTTAGTGTCCTGCACACTTTCAGATGACACGTAATGAGAAGTAAATTAGAATAAATAACTGATTTTAAACTGATTTTTACATATATTCGAACATCTCAGTATTGGAAAACTGATATCTCTTGAACATTCATAATTTTTGGGACTGGCACCAACAACAAAACCCCGACTCCTCAGCAATGAAAGCCTTGTCAAGTTGAGATCTCAGACTGACAGAGTGCAGCAGACAGATGGTCAGAGGGCGAAGAGGTGATTTAGTGGAGGACAAACTGAAGCCAGTCCTTATTTTAATGAGGACATCTCTTCAGGAGGCTTTTCTTCTTGAGTGACCACAACTTTGCGTTGCGTGACTGGCTTATTGTTTGAGAACACAGGATTCAAATTTTTTAAATCAAATATTTAAAAATAGATGTGTCTAAACACAGATTTTTTTCATTTACTTGCTAAAATTATAAGACAATAATGGGATTGAGACTGTAAGAATGCTGTCTGTTCCTGCAGTGTTCATCTCTTCCTTTCTTTAGGTAAAGCCGTGGGCTGCAGGCTCTTGGTTCTGCACTTTCTTATTCAGCAGATTTACCTGCTGCTGTAAAAGACTGACTCAGACCACAAGTTAACTCTGGATCGTGGTCATTTCTTTGAACATTTTTGGCCTTTTTATCATATTGAGACTTTTTYTTACCTTCACTCCTACCTTTTTGTGCAGAACCAACTCGTATTTGCTTGTGGATTGCTGGAGAAATTCTCTCCACTTCTTAGATTCATCTGAGATATCATGAATGCTCATTAAAAATACACAGAGGACMACTTCCCTACCTCACGCACTGTGCACCAATTAACCCTGGATGCCTGAATGCTCCTAAGCCCACTGCAGAAAATAAAACAAAACAAAGAAAGCAAGAACAACAACAACAACAACAAAAAACTAATATCAGTTAAACATTCTCAAAATCACCTTTGATTCTTAATAACTCTTGAGTGAAGATGATCTCAACCAACCCCCACTTGCAATTTTCATTTGTATTTAAATCTTTTAAACCTGCATTTTGGGTCGGTTTCTGGGCTCAGAACTAAAAAAAAAAATGTTTGTACCTATTTATGTCTATAGAGCAATTGCAGAACCTGTTTTTTATGTATTTAAATGAACATATGATGAAAAGCTCAAAAG